AAAATTTGCAAATTTTTGGTTTGATTCTTCTTAATTTTTTCCTGTCACTATAGGGAAAATTTAATTGGAGAATGGACAATGACCAACATTTTGTAAATTATAATATCCCTTATGAGGCAGCCCTGAACCATCAATGGTATGAGATGAAACATGTACAATGAAAGAATGTTTTTTTTTTTTTTTGATAATCAGGATATTCGTGCTAGTTTGTACACATCTAACTAATCTTCGAGGTCCATTTAAAAACTTAAAAATCCAATGACTCTGATAATTCACATGTGGTAAGTGATCTCGACGTTGAAACCCAAAAAATAATAAGGAGTTATCTAACCATTAGTCAATCTTTTTGCTTTGTCATCTCCTTTATGACCACCAGGGACATTAGATTTCACTTGGCACTGTTCGCAGAGTGAAGAACCTGTCAAAAGTTTACTTATATTGAAAAAAAAAAAAAAAAAAAACAGTCTTATGACAAAGTATGTACTTGTCTTGGTGTTGATAAAATTTATACAAAGTATTTAATGTAAGAGTGATTATATGTCAGAATCAGGTCTTATAGAACATCTCTAATAGTACTCTATTTTGAATAGTATCTTTCATATAAATAAAAAGCATCTTCTTAATTTTAAAATATGAAGAACATAATTTTTTATTCAAATCCATAGACTCTTTAAATTTAATGAAGATGTTCTTTATTTTTAAGAACGAGACTTAATGGGGAGAGAGATTAATAAATAAATGCATAAGACTTAGTTATTAATTAAAATTAGGATAGAGAGTGAAATTTGACTTTCTAATGTGGAGAATCAACTCACTCTCTATTTAGATTTAAAAGTAAAGAGTATATGGACTCTTGTTTTTATGGATAAACGCTTTATAATCAAAGAATTTGGGTCATATAAAGAGTCCCTTGGAGATCTCTTATAGGATAATAAGTTAACAAAAATCTTCTTATAATCAAATTCTAATGACCAACATACAAATACCTAAAATTAGAATATTAACTTAGAATCTTACCCTTAGAGATCTCCAATGGTGATCTTTATTTTGAAGAACACTTTCATATAAATAAAGAGTATCTTCATTAATTTTTAAATATAAAGATACATTTTTATTCAAATCTAATGGACCTCTTTAAATTTAATGAAGATGATCTTTATTTTTAAGAAAGAAACTTAATAAAAGAAAAAATTATAAATAAATGAATAAGAACTTATAGTTTATTAATTAAAATTAGGATAGAGAGTGAAATTTGCTCACTAAATATGAAGAGTTAAATTTACTCTCTAATTTATATTTTAAAAATAAAGGTATGTTAGACTCTTATTTTTATAAATAGAATTTTATATAACGAGTTTGATCATATAGCATCTTATATAACTGATGCTATTTGGCTCGCTTCTCCAGAACAATAGGCTTTGAATAAAATATATTTCTAACAGAATTGGTCTCATTCACGAGAAAAAATGACTTTGAGCGAGACAAGGACATGACAATGGACTCTGTAAAAGGACCAAAACTTTTGGGGTATGGTGAAAGGGAATATGTAATAATAGAGTTATTAACAAGGAGCGTAAATTTAATTATTCAAAACTCATGGACCTTAAGTAATTTAGTTTTTATGAAAAGTTAGTATAATCAAGTGTCGTAATTGAAAGAAGATAATTGAAAATGAGAAAACAATTAAGAGTAGGAGGAGGAGTGCGGAACTTTTTCGAGTCGTTCAACTCGGTTAACAAAAAGCATCAAGAGAAATCAAGGTCGCTCTCTCTCTCTCTCTCCCTCTTTTTCTTTACTATTTATAATCAAAAGGAAAGGACTTTTTGATTCAATCTTAAGTAGAGATCCATGGATGCAGAAAAAGCTCAATAAGAGGCACCATTAATTATAATCTGAAAAATATTGTCTCTAGCTAGGTCGTGGACCCAGTTTCTTACCTCCATCTGTGCTGAAAATGATCCTCATCTTAATACATGTATTAGAATCAAGAGCATGAAATGAAAATGATGAAAGGTAGTTAGATGATTTTTCCTTTTTAATGAAGTGGGGTATGGCAACCAACTCGATTGTTGTGTTGGAATTGATACAACTGTTGAAATATTAATACATGAGCGAGGTTATATCCTTATCTTAATACAATATTAGAATTACAGCATGAATGAAAGATGATGAAGGTAGTTAAATGGGTTTTTCCTTTTTAATGAAGTGGGGCGTGGCAACCAACTCGATGTTTTTGGAAATTGATACAGCCGTTAAAATATTATACATGATGAGGTTATATATATATATGAAATATTAATACATGATGACGTGTGGTAATGTATAATATATAAAGAATTTTTTAGCTTTTCTCTAACTCACTAGAACTCTTACGTCAACTTAATTATTCCGAGTTTTTATTAAGGGCCTGTTACAGGCTTCATTTTCTGCTTCCTACAGAATATTTATCTTATGTCATGTACTTTGCTCACGATTCTTGTCTCGGGGCAATAATTAACATAATAGGCGGTAATAATTAACGTAATAACAATTCGAGAAAAAACTCTAGATGACCCAACGGTCAACAAAAACTTTTGATTATATTATTCAGACATACTTGGATGTAAGGAAAATAGTGTTAAATTAGGATTTAATTTTGTTCTTTTTCTTATTATTTTCGTATTTATTAGGGTTTTATACAAGAATTCAAGTATTTTCTATTTTAATTAGGAGTTTAATTGATTTATGAATTTTAATTTAGTTAAATTTTATTTTTTATTTTAGAATTAGTCAATAATTAGGATTTTATTCTTTGTTTAGTTGGGAGTCTTGTTAGGGTTGGTTGCCATCATCCAATATAAACATATTATTCATTTATTGAGATACAATACATAATATTACATTTAAATTTTTCTTCAAATTTTATGACCTAAGTTTTTACAATTGAGATTTGTTACCAATTCGAAAAGTATGTTCATCGTAAGTAATTTCCCCAGCTTGGTCTCGTGGACCCAGTTCTTATCCTTACATCTTGTGGTCAAATTTTACAATTTCCCCAACTTGGTCTTGTGGATCTAGTTCTTACCTTCACTCTTGTGGTCAAAATTTTACTTCTCGCTCGCTCAACATCTTTGTCCCTCTCATTTTCTCTTACCCCTCCAATTGGCATAACACTGCTAAGAAAACTTTTTGCTTTGTAATCTCCTCTGACGGCCACCAGGGACACTGGATTTCACTTGCACTGTTCAGCCAAAGTAAAGACCGTCAAAATTTACTAATATTGCCCAAAAAAAAAAAAAAGTCCTATGACAAAGTGTACTTGATCTTGATGTTGAGTAAAGTTATACAAAGTATTTATCATAAAGTGATTATATGTCGGACCTAGTTTATTATAGGATAATAAGTTAAATGAAAATTTTTTGTATAATCAAATTCTAACGACTAACATAAAAACAACTATGAATTAGAATATTAAGTTAAAATCTTACCTTTATATATGTAAATATTATTAAAAAAAAAAAAGTAAAATAAAATGATGCTATTTGGCTCGCTTCTAACAAGCACTTGAAATATAATCAATATAAATATATTAAAATAACCTGATAATCCTATAATGGAACCAATTCACTCCGGTAAAAACTTTATTATTGAACAAGTCAGCATTGAAGAAATTAGAATAGAAAAACCAACATACACACCTTCCTCTTGATTTATAAATAAATACATTTTTAGTTGTTATAGCTTCTCTCCCATAATCACTTGTTCCATAAACTATCACTTTAAATATTTTTGAGAAACACTTTCATACATATTATAGAAAAGTGGGTTATAATAATCTATTTTAATAATTTTTTTTTTTATAAAAATAGGCTTTTGTAGCTTTTATGATTAAAAACTGGCGTTGCCAGTCAAAATACCATTCACATATACAATATAATTTAAATAATACTTAATTATTTATTTATAAATTTAAAAATATTAAAATGTTACAATTTTCAATCAACGCTGATCAACAAATCAACAAGAGTAAAAGAAAATTAACTTTTTTTTTTATTTTAAAGTAAAAGATCTGGTGGTTGTCCACCAAAATCTGGTGGTCGGTCATCGTCATCCATGTTTGTTTCCAATTTAATTTTTATGTTTCTTCAACGACTTACCCTCCAAGATGGGGGGTAATGTTGGGTGTTTCTGAAATTGGGGAAAAAGTTCGTTTGCCATAGTTTTAGTGGTGAAACTTAATTCAGCCCTAAAAGTATGTCCAAATAAAACAATGTTCTCCTCGTTGCCGTTGGCATTTTACAAGTCAACTTTGCTAATTAATGTAAATTAATCAAGAAGACAATTTAATCCTTGATTTACTTTCATATTTACATAAACCATTAACATTAAAACAATTAATAATATTTATAATACTTTATATGTAACTATTTAAAAGCATTTCAAGTTATTATGGTTCTGTTTGGTTCATTAAAATATCTTTTGAAAAAAATTAAATTGGGCGGATTTACGATGTAGGATTAGGAAATTAACAAAATAATCTATATATTTGTTTTATTACTAACACCCCTATAATAAAATATTAAAAGTTAACAAAAACACCTACAACCACCCATTAAATACGGTACGGCCACCATCGCGGAGGTGGCCGGAATATTTTTCAATTTTAAAAAAAATATTTGAGGGTGTTTAGTTAAATTATATAATTTAGGAAATTTAAAAGAAATTGAAAAATATAGAATATATTTTGGGAATAATGACATCTCACTATTTAACTTTTTTGGAATACTATTATTAGTATCTCCAAAAGCGAACCAAACGAAGCCTATGTTTTTCTTTCCTGTTTTACAAAATAAATGAATTTAAGAGTTAATTACTTAATACAAATATTATTTCACATTTAACACAAAAAAATACAAAATAAAATCTATTTTAAAAATAAAATCTATTTTAAAAATAAAATCTATTTCTAACATGAATTTGTCTCATTGAGGTAGAAAAGGAGTTTGAGCAGAGACAAGGACATGACAGCTGTAAAAGGGCTGACAACTCTGGGGTTTGGTGAAAGGGAATATGAGTTTTTAACAAGGAGCGTAAATGTTAATTTTTCAAAACTTATGGACCTTAATGTCATATGGTTTTCCTGAAAAGTTGTATAATCAGTCCCTATGATTGAAAGAAGATGATTATTTCAAAATGGATAACAAGGTTCAGAAAGAGACAAAAGGTGCTCTCTCTCTCTCTCTCTTATATATATATATATATAATTATATATATATATATATTAAATTCTTGATGAAAGTTTTTTTTAATTAACTAGGATTATTATTATTATATTGTGGAAATTGTAAGGATACTGAATCTTGGTCTAATTGGAGCATAATGATATTAGGATTAAAAAAAAAAAACTACTATAATATTTATGAAATATTTTATAAATTTATGATATACAGTGAGTCTTAGACAATTCTTGGATCTGGGATCCAATGGCTCTTTTCTTTTTAATTAAAAAAAAAAATATATATTACTGCACCAATTGTGTCTCACATGTTGAGTTTTAGATTTTTATTTTATTTTTTATTTTACCTTAATATTGAGAGTAGAGGATTGCATCAAAAATTATTTTTGAAGTATATTAGCTATATGAGTTTTTAGAAAAATTCGTTTTTAGAAGTATATTGGGCTTGTTTGGTAGATTATTTGAAAAGTGTTATTATGAAAACATGTTTTGAGTTGAGTTAGATTAAATCGAATAGGATTAGATTCTGAAAATGTGTTTAGTAAAACATCTAAAAATTATATCAGAGTTTGATCTGAATAGTTGTTTAGTACATTTTTTTAAAAAGGTTTTTAAGACAGAATAGTTGTTTGGTGTAGTTTTTGAAAATATTTAGATTATTTTTTTATCCCCTACATTTGTTAATTTAGTTAAACACCCTTACAATAAAAATTTAAAAATTAACTAAAGCACCCCAATCACCCAAAAGGACAACCGACAAAATGATGCACGACCGATTAGATCTAACTGATATAGTCGACCTACCAAATCTACCGTGGATTTGGTCGAAAACGGCCAGATCTACAACTAGAAACGATTAGATCTTTGGCTGTAGATTTTACCAATCGTGCATAGTTCTGGTCACATCGAGCAATGATGGCCAGCAGTTGACGATAGTTTCTGGCAGGCAATGGTAGTCTTTGATGAATTAATTTTTAAATTGGAAGGAGAGAAAAGTTTATGTGTAGGAACTATATTAATTGGGGTAATTTACGTTGATGAGTGGTTAATGTTGGTTGTTTGAGTTAATTTTTGGTTGAGGATGTTGAAAATCAAAGGATATACGGAGCTGGCATGGCCTTGATGTGGGCTCGATATACTGTGTTAGTAGGGATTTATGCCTAGCCGCTACAGGTAGGTGCCAATCCCATGACAATGACAATATACTGAGTTGGCAGGGGCTCGATGTTGGTTTGATATACCGAGTTGGTTGGTCTTTATGCCTAGCTACTGTAGGTGGGTGTAATCACAGAAGATTTGCTCAAAACGGTTATCAACAAATGAGGTTTTTTTTTTTCTTAATTCCATAACATCAAGCTAATAGAATCAGATCCTTTACCCAGATATTGTTCAACCATTAAATTATTTTATACTATTATTTACTTAAAAACAAATGAATTCATTCTTGATTTTTTTTTTTTTTTAATTTCTTAATAGCAAGAAGGTGGACCATCATCCCAGGTGTCAACGCCTACTCCGGTATTGTTTCACCATATAAATCATCTTTTTTTTTTTTTTAATTTTATTGTAAATTTGCCACACAGTAAAGTGAGAGTAATCCTTTTTTTGTTTTTTTTAATGCTATTCACTAACTAAAAATGAAATGCTGTTAGTGTCAGGGTTAGTCACTTACCAAAAAATTCTCTATTTTTAAGATTCTTTTATCAAAATTAGAAAAAAAAAAAAAAATAGCTCTCTCTGACATTTAGTGAACTAACAAATTAAAATCAACAAATGATGGTTTTTTTTTTTTTTTAATTCCATAACAGCAAGCTAATAGGATCGGATCCTTTACCCAGATATTGTTCAACCATTGAATTATCTTATATTATTATTTACTTAAAAACAAATTAATTCATTCTCAAATTTTTTTTCTTTTATTTCTTAACAGCAAGAAGGTGAATCATCATCCCAGGTGCCGACCCCTACTCTGGATCTTTTCATTTTTATTTATTTTTTCATATATTATAAAGTTCTATATCTGTTGACCATAATTTTTTTTTTTTTAAATATGCTTAGATGAAAGTATTTAATTTAATTTTATTTGATACATGTTTTAACTTAGAATATGGTTCTTTTTCCTTTTATCTTTTTTTTTTTTTTTTTTGGTGGAGGTAATTGTTAAGGGTTAGTGAATCTTGATTTGATTTGAGAATGATGATATTTAGACGAAAGTATGCAGATTATTATTAAATTTATGGAATATTTTATTAAATTTATGACCTAATTGTCGAGTTTAGGTTTCATGTTGAGAAATATATATGATGAAAGTGAGAAATAATTTTGAAATGTACAGGGTAATAAAATCTACAAAGGAGCCTTTGATATTACATGGGGCAATAACGACAACTACTGGAAACTACCAGCGGATGAAAAGTAAGAAAGTCCCCTTTTCTCTAATTATTGAAGTCCAATATATATATATATATTGGATCAGGATAGTGATTTATTAATCAAGAATGATTTATTAGAGTTTTCTTCTTACAGTAGTGTATAATATCTATAAATCTGAAAAATCCTTCATATATTTCACTGTACAGGTCACCTGCAGAGCTGAAGCGGGTGTGTTGGCTTCAGGTAACCGGTAAAACAAAAGTAAAAAGGGGGAAGTCATATGAAATAGAGTTCAACATTACTTTGAAAGCTGACGGCTTTGGGTGGAATGGCCTCCCACTTTTTCTGATGGCTAAGATTGGGGCAAAGGGAAAATCCATATGGAAAAAGATTAAGCCACTGGAGCAGACTACAGATAATAAGACATTTGATATTCCTAAGCCTGACGAAAAGTTCATCGTTAAAATTCCAGATAATAAAGGTGACGAGGAACAGGACCTTTTCTTTGGCTTCTATGAAATTTGGAGTAACAAATGGAAGGGAGGATTGCTTATTAATTATGCAACTGTTAAAGAAGTAAGCGAACCGAATTAAGCTCTGTTTGTGCTTAGCAAAATGTTGCCAAATAAGAGACTAGAAGACAAAAAGATAAACTAGCATTTCGTGCACTGATAACGTTTTTTATATTGTGTGTTGTTTGCCAAACATATATTAATAAAGTCATGTTTGTTGCCAAAGTTTTAAAAAAGCTAGCTACATTAGTTAAATAGTTTGATAAATGGATGTTAAATGATAGTGAATGATATGATAATGTAAGAGTAGTATCACTTCATTTTGTATGGATGAATTTAGATAGATTTTTGTAAGTGTAGTATTATTAAGTAGAATAACAATTCTATCATAGATGAGACAACTTTTATATGAATTTTGATAACTAATTCTTGAAGTCTAAATAGAGGGCCCCATAACTGACAAAAATTATGGATATAGAGAATTTTTATCAGTCCCATATGATCATAATGCTTTGTTTTCATTGTATATGTAATCTTTATTAGTGAGATATGGTTAGAATGTTTAGATTTCATCTGTATGTTTAAAGAAGTTGATGACTTCTGTGAAAAAGGAATTTTATAAGCTTAATAGCTTAACTTTAGCTTACAAACTTCTTTTATATAGAAACTATACAAAGTAGAGTAAGTTTTTGATGAAACTAATGAACCATATGCTTCATAAATAAAGCCATAATAAATATGCACTGTTTAAAACCGATCTGATAATTTTACTTATTGATAACAAATCATTTGTCCTAAATAAAATGAGAGTGAGAAATGGATCGAAGAAAGTTGAGAATCTGATTTTTCCTTTTGGATAAAAATATTCATGTTGCTAATTATAAGAAACATTGATCATAGAATAGAGCTTTTTATGATTAATTAAGATATATGGGATTACTTTCCTGATAATGTGAAACTACTTTTGTGATTATGAATTATGATATTACAATTAATGTAAAAATTACTTACCTCCCTAGTTTTATTAGAAATTATTATTACAATTAATGTAAAATTATTACTTACCTCCCTTTAATCAAACTCTCCCCAAAACTATTTAAAGAATTCATCACTCACTAGTCATTACCCATTAATTAAAGGGAAACGTTAAAGGTACAAAGACTCTTATAAAGAGTTTTTGTACAAAGTGATGTGGCAGCTGTTATACAACTAGTTTCACATCAATTTTATCTTTCTTTTCACAAACTAGTGGTGTGGCAGCTGTAAATCTAGCTTAGGGTTTGCGAACAAACAGAAAAACAGAGAGAAATGTGTTTGATTTTCTTTACTGATAGACCGAATTCGTAAAAGCTACAGTGAAGAGAAATCTTTACTCTTTTATACAAAAACGAAGAGTAAAGTAAAGTGCATTGTACAACTGACTTTATTGAAATAAAAAACGACACCACCTTGCAGAATTACATTTTCCTCTTGCTACTTGAATTTTTTGCATTTTCGTCCTTTGACCAACATCCCCTTTCAAACTGGACATTCTTCTTCTGCTGCTTCAGTGGTCTTTCTTTCACCAGCATTTCTTTTCAAATTCATTGGCTCTTTGACCAACATCCCCTCTGAAACTAGTCTCTTTCTAATACCTCTGTTCTCATATAACCCCTTCAGGCAACATACGCTCAACTTCTTCAACTAATCATCCTAAAAAAAAAAAACACTTACTCAATACTCAGGACAAACAACTTAATTTCAGTTCTGCATATTCAGTTTCAATTTTCAGCTAACCAAATTTGGGATAATTAGCTTTTTAGTAGCATAAAAAACAACAATCAGAACATAACAACCAACTCAAAACAACTCTGCAATTTCAGTTTCAACTTCAGCTAATCAACTCTGCATCAGCAAATTTTCAATTCTACATTTGCAGTTTCAACCAACCAAACTTCAGATAATCAGCTTCTTAGTGGCATCAAAAACAACAACCAAAACATAACAACCAACTCAAAACAACATCTCAACTTCTCAACTTAACCAAACTTTAGATAATCAGCTTCTTAGTAGCATCAAAAACAACAACCAAAACATAACAACCAACTCAGAACAACATCTCAACTTCTCAACTTAACCAAACTTTAGATAATCAGCTTCTTAGTAGCATCAAAAACAACAACCAGAACATAACAACCAACTCAGAACAACATCTCAACTTCTCAACTTAACATTTCTTATCTCAATCATACAGTTACAAACTGCATTTCTTATCTCAACCAACTGAAGTTCAATCACAAACCTCCANTCTCAACGTAACAACTCTTATCTCAATCATATAGTGACAGTCTGCATTACTCAGCACAACTAACTAAAAATTCAACCACAAACCTCTAGTTTAACAACTATACACTATAAATTCATGAGCACAATTCTACAACTTCTTCAACTCTTCACAGTTCTGTAAACTGTCTCAAAATCATCTCAAAAATCACAGATCAATACTGTAACACATACATCTGCCACTACTACAAAACACCCATCTGTCACAACTGCCACAACTCTACAATCTGCCACAACTTCCTCAGTAAAAAAAATTCACACATCTGTCACCTTCTATACTACAAAAATAGTAGCACAGAAATCAATAAATAGCAGTTAAGAATCAGTACAGACTGCATATTTCAACCATTTTTCAATAGCAGATTTCAACCATTTTCCAGGTGCATTCTGATCTTCTTCTGCATTACAAAAATAGGTAAGAATCAGTACGTATTACAAGGAACTGCAACCATATTTAGTTTCTGCCTCAGCTCAGTAAATTGAACAGCAGATAATGCCTTTGTCAACACATCTGCAATCTGCAATTTCGATGATACATATTGAACTGTCAGATTCTTGGCAAGAACTTGCTCCCTAATGTAGTGAGCATCTATTTCTATATGCTTTCTCTTGCATGAAAGACTGGATTTGAAGCTAAGGCTCTAGCACTTGTATTGTCACACCAAATTACAGGTTTTGAGGGCAAGTAAAGGCTGAGTTCAGTAAACGTACTTTGAAGCCATGCAACCTCTGTAGCAGTTTGTGCTAATGCCCTGTATTCAGCTTCAGTGGATGATAACGCAACAACTTTTTGTTTCCTAGAGCTCCACTGAATTAGATTAGGTCTAAGATAGACACAATATCCACTAGTAGATCTCATATCTTCAACATTACTACCCCAATCCGCATCAGCATAGTACTCAATGTTTAGAGAACTTGCTGGTTTAAACTGCAGCCCATAGTGTAGTGTCCCTTTAACATATCGCAGAACTCGATTGCACGCTTGCCATTCTAACTCAGTTGGGGCTTGTAAAAACTGACTTAGACGATTAACTGTGAAGCTAATATCTGGTCTAGTCAGTGTTAGGTACTGCAAGGCTCCTATTGTGCTGCAATATAATGTAGGGCTCTCAAACAAATCACTATCATCAGTACTCAGTCTAGTACCAACAGCCATTGGTGTAGAGCATAGGTGAGCATCCATCATTCTGGTTTTGACAAGCAAATCTAAGGCATATTTGGACTGCCTGAGATGTAAACCAGCTGCTGTCCTAACTGCTTCTAGGCCTAAAAAATATATGAGTGATTCTAGAGTTTTCAAGGAAAACTGCTCATTTAAATCTTCAAACAACTGAGTTATATAGGTTGCATCAGAACCAGTGATTAAAATATCATCTACATAAACAAGAACATAGATTAGTCCTGATAATTTTTTAAGAACAAATAAACTCGAATCTAAAACTGAGTTTTGAAAGCCTTTGGCTTGGAGAGTAGCCTTGAGTTTATCAAACCATGCCCTAGGGGCTTGTTTAAGGCCATATAAAGCCTTGTTTAATTTGCACACATATGAAGGGTGAGTAGCTGATTCGAATCCACTTGGTTGCTGCATAAACACTAGCTCACTTAGAGTACCATTAAGAAACGCATTGTTGACATCAATTTGTTGAACATCCCATGCATTGGTTACTGCTAGAGTGAGAACTATTCTGATGGTGGATGGTTTTATAACTGGACTAAATGTCTCAAAATAGTCCAAACTAGGAGTTTGTTGAAACCCCTTAGCTACTGGTCTGGCTTTGTACTTCTGCAAAGTACCATCAGCATTCAATTTTGTTCTGAAAACCCATTTATTACCCACAATATTCATGTCTGCAGTAGGAGAAACAAGGGTCCAGGTGTTGTTCCTAATTAGAGCATCAAATTTTGCCTACATAACCTCTTTCCAAACTCCAGTTTTTAATGCTTCAGCAACTGATACAGGTTCTGATTCTATAATAGGCTGACTAGCTGTAAGATAAACAGCATGATCCAAAGACTCACAGGTTGAATTAACATGTCCAGTAGCAGCTTTGGCTCTTGTAATCATAGGATGAGAATTAATTGGGATAGGAAGTTGATCATTAGTGAACTGTGAAGCAGTAAGGTCAACCTCAAATTGGAAATTAGGTAAAGTACATAATGATGGACTGGTAGATACTGGAGATGGAGAAGAACAAGCTGGTATTGGAGTATCAAGGTCAACCTCAATATGACATGATGGCAAATTGTAGGAGGAAGAAACAACAGGTAGTTGAGATACTGGATTAAGACTGTTTGAGTTAGATGGGACAGATTCAAATTGAATGGTATGTAATGGAAAACCAGATTTTTCTGCAGTGTTCTCATGTGGAATTAAAGGAGGACTATGGCTTGAACTATCAGCAACTTTAGAGATACTAGGTAAGGATGAATCAGACAAGTGTGAAGAGGATCTACCTGCTGCTGAAGAGTAAGAACCAACTGCTGAATTGTTAGGAACAGTCTGAGAGCCAGTTACCACTTGGGAATCATAGGCTACTGAAGATGGACTATGCTGGAAAATTATATATGGCAGTGGGTGTGTATTACTGGAACAAGTATTAGGGGAATTGGCTGAAGGATCAGTGTTAGATTGAACAGGTAGCTTATTAAACTCTTGAGAATAAGGAAATTCATTTTCATTAAATTTAACACTAGGAGTAATGAAGATCTTCCCATCAGCCCTTAGACATTTATAACCTTTGTGAAGTAAACTATACCTGACAAATACACATTTTGAGGAATGAAAATCAAACTTGTGACTATGAAAATTCCTAAGAAACGGGAAACAAGCATAGCCAAAAACTTTAAGACTATCATACACAGGATATTTATTAAAAAGCAAAAAATAGGGAGTATTATTATTTAAGACAGTAGTGGGAAGTCGGTTGATGAGAAAAGCTGCTG